TTGATTTGGGCACAAACTGTCACAGTAGTACAATTGACCAAAGGGAAAACCTGAGAAATTTAGGCCCGGGGCTAGGAGGCGCCGGGAAAAAGTTTTAACAATTTTACTATCCTTTAGTGATAGGAAGATTTTGGGAAAAGGGTTTTTATTTTTTTTAAATTTTGATAATTTTAGACCCCAAAAAACCCCTTTTTTCCCCCCCCCTTAAAGACTGAAATTTTTTTTTTCCCCCTTTTTTCTTGAGGGATCTTACTTTTTTAAGACAAAACTTTGAAAATTTAAATGCTAAAATTTTGCCTTATTTATTCGCCGATGGCCCCCTTTAAAAGGGAAAAAACCCGGGGGCCGGGGTTTTTAAAAAAAAAAGTCTTTTTATTATCGATTTTTCCCATAAATGATTAAATGAAGAATCAATGAAAAAAAGTGAAAATTTTTCTATTTTTTTGGGGAAATGGGTTTTTTGTAACGTCTTCAGGTGTTGCTCTTTTTTGTTATGGGATTGGAAAAACTACTTTAGGGCCGGAAAGGGGGGGGAAGGATGTTTTTCAATTTTAGTTATCTTCCCCCTGGGGATGGGGGTTACATTCCCCTATCCTTTGTTTAGGAAGCAAAATTCCCGCTAATGCCCATAACAAAACATGAGGTGGGCTTTTTGTGCAATAAATAATTCCCATCTTTTGGGCCCCCCGTTTTTTTTTAAAAAATTTTGTCCTTAATAAGATACAAACCCATGATAACCTAATTAGTATTAACAGGTTTTAGCAATCGATGATTTTAAAAGCAACGTGCAATATAGCTTCAAGGCAAAAATGTAAAAGCTTATTTGCTTAACCAAAGATCTTAGATATGTGTTTTAAGAAACTAATTAACTGTGTAATTTATTATCATACGATCTGGGTTGCTGATATGACGTTGGCTTATTACAGAATTACTATGTCAATTACTAAATTAAATGTTTGAGTAACATTCATAATTGAATTGTTCTTTATTGCAAATGTAACTATACTTAAGCCAGTACGCTCTACATTTTTATTATTTCAATTTCCAATGCACTTTAACGCACACAATGTTTTGTATAATATGAAGTTTGTACTTTAGCCGGAAAAAAAAATACCCCTTTTATTTATTTAAATTTTACTTTTTTCCGCAAAAAAAAAATTTTTTAATGCGTTTTAAACGCGGCTGCATTACATCATTAATAATGCATGTGTTTATCGGTGTTCGTAGTACATGTGTTTATCTATTTGGATATCTGAACTGTAAGGATGCAGAAATCAATATTTTCACAACTTCAAAGGGCATAAAACAGTAATTTATATGCATAGACTCGTTTACGCGTTACGCTTTACTAGCGTTGTGCAGTCAGCACGGCATTCAATAATTGTGTACTTAAATGCTCTCTTCAGGACAACCTAAGAAGGTACTCCGAAATAAATGTTACTTAGGGATGTTACAGAAAAGGGTCATAATGGTCCTAGATCGCCCGCTAAAAAGTTTTAATTCTTGAACGCAGGAGTAGAAAATTGGGGGTTCATTTTGAACCCAATGGATAAATAAAACTTTAAAAGGGTGTTTTAGGAAGAGCACCATGCCAAACATCTAAGCCCTGAGTATTTTACTTTCACAAAATAAAATTTACAAGTGTTTTCCTAATTAAATATCTATAAACTGAGCTGTGACTTCGAATTTGGACCACAGGGGCATGAGTAATATTACTTTTTGCAGACGACCAACATGCATACACATATCTAAGCTCTTGGTATTGTAGCTTCGGCGGAGGAGAAACTTAAACATTTTACTATTTTAGTCTTTGTAAATAAAATGACCCATTTTAAACCCCAGGGGGGGGCATTATTCATACTATTTTTGTAGAGGTGAACTATAACATGCTACATGCAAATAACAGCCTTTGGCAATGTAGCTTAACACAAAAAGACTCTATTAATGTGTTTTCCTATATAAGCGTATGTGAACTAAGTGACCCCTTGGGCGAAGCCAATTTTGACCTCAAGTCAGATGGTCTATTTATCTGTTGTAGGCGATCTCAAGTTGATGCCAAGTACCAAATATCAAAGCTCTGGGGTTGGAAGTTTCGGAATAACAGCATTTTAAGACATTTACGTTTATAATTATATGTAAATTATGAGATTTCAGTGGGATTTATACAACTGTTATACAACTTAAAGGTTATGCTAAATCCCAAATATCCAAGCGTGCTTTTGGGTATAATTATAGTTCCAGAGGAAATGAGTTTTAAAGATATCGTTTTAAAGTCTTTATTAGCTCCTGTGGTCGTCTCATGCATGCGACTGTTAACAATTTATTAAACTTTTGTAGAGGGCCACACGACGGTCATTCTTGGGAAGTTTAGTCAAAATCTTCCTCTTGATTTAGGAGATATTTTTAAAGGAATAAAAGGCAACATATATCATACGACCGCAAAGGTAACCTTTGAGTACTCTGCGCTTAGGTGAAAACAAAAACAAACACAAATATCTTGTTCCCGCTCGTTTGCTGATGTATCGTCCTTGAGTTGTTTAGGCAGTCGTCCTTGAAGCCTTTACAACATAATGTTGTATTTCGTTTATAGATACTAAATTGATTAAGAAGTTTCAATGATTAGACCGTATGTAATTGTATGTAAACAAATTGCGTAAGTGTACCATACTGACGTTAATACATACATTACTATATATCAATAAAATATACGAATCATTTCCAAATAATGTATAAGAGTAAAAAAAAATCATTGTTTTTTTACATCAGCCATTAATGATTAAAAATACATGTAGGTTAAATTCAAATGACTTTCTAAAGAGAGAACATAACAATGTTATCAAATCCATCCGAAAAATATTTTACAATACATTTTGCATCTTCATTTTGCATACATGCTCGGATGACTCAATCAATCAATCAATCAATCAATCAATCAATCAATCAATCAACCAACCAACCAACCAATCAATCAATCGACTATCCTGTAAGTTTTTACAATCTATAATTTATTTAAGTAACAGTTGGTCCATTTTAAAGTTTTGTTAACCATTAAACTTGAAAAACGGATAATTAGATTTGACCATTGCTTGCATTTAATACCTTGTCACTAAGCATAAATATTTTCTTTATCCATTTATTTAACATTACATTCAGAGACAAAAGCTCCTTCATTGACTTTAAACCAAATTCAAACCATTTTTTTAACTTATAGTCGTATGATATTGATGCATACATGTATATTGTTTCACCTTATTGTCATTTCTGTAAAAGACTGGCAAGACCTGACAACCAATAGAGAAATATGTTAAATATCAAAACGCGTTCTTAAAGGCCCATAAAGCCTATCAAAAAGACTCCTATTTTGATCTTTCAGAAGTTGTTATTATTTGGTGTTCTATTACAGGTTCGAAGCTGTTCACATTGTTCATAAAGCTGAACCGAACCATTTTTTATATATTGGCTATAAGAACATTTCTAGTGTTCAGTATGGGGGAAATCAAAATACCATATTTCTTACATTAATCACACTTTTTTCACGTTAAATGCAACTTTCTTTACACCAAACTGGCTCATTATTAAAACGTTATAACACCACAGGTTTGCCTTTTCTTCAGAGGCTAAATTTGTTTTAATTTCTAAAGGTAGATGGCCTTTAAGTAAATAAAAATATATAGACAACAACGTCCGTCATAATTATTTTATTTCAAGAGTACAAAACGTATGCCTCATGCATTTATTTACATATATATGTTTATATATAAATTTGAAAGACTTGGAAATAAAATAACAAAGTTAAACATTTTTGCAAGATCAAACAGTTATGAAACATGAGCATTGTGTGATATACATGTATGATTATACATGAATCTGAGGTTTTGAACATATTAACATAAACAATAAATATACAAATATATAACATTATAAATGAATATTTACACAGACAAATTGTGCATTTCATAGAAATTAAAATAAACAATTTGATGCATTGGCAAAAAACAGCCTTTGGAACTATGGTGATAAAAAACCCTAACAAATATAACAGTAACAATATAACAAAATTCCTTCACAAATATTTGATATGTTATGTAAAATCCTAAATGTAGATTTCAGTGCCTAGAAATTTGCTATCTTTATCACATTTATGTTTCTCATCGGTCCCAAAACCCAGTGAAAATGGTGCGCGAGATGTTGCCGCCCAGAACTTAATAAAAATATTCCCCGCAATACAAAAAAACATTTTTGGGAAATCAAACTTTTTAAAATTTTTTGCGGGCAAAAAACTGTTCAGTTAAATTTTAAATTTGCCATGGCTGATTTAATAAGAATCATAACGTTTAGTTAATGTCGAAATTGAAAAATATCTTTTAAAAAGAAACAGGAAATCCGTCATATAGCTTTTACATTGTCTTTGTAACTTAAAGGGAGATATAGGCAAAATTTTCATTTCTTAGTTTTGAATTTTTCATTCATTATTCTGTAAATGCCCTCAAAATAAATATAATAGACAGTCAAAGGAGCAAAACTTTTCTCCATATAAAGAATAAAATGGAGGTTTCCTAACTTGACCCACGTGGGTCAGGTTAGAGCGCTAGCATTTTACAATAGTTGTCAAAGTGAACTCTGGAAACGTCAAAGAACATGTCAAATGAATGACTTAGGCTTGTTTCAATCATACAATATCCACAATATCTGTTATTGTAACTTCAAGGGTTTTGTTAAAGTCACTTGACTTGTTTTAAAACTATTTGGCGATTCTATTTGCGTCTAAATTTTGTTCAACATGTATAGATATATATTTACGCTTCAAACCCAAAATATAAATAATTTAAACAGAAATTCATGCTAAAACTTCAAGGAAAGTCATTTTAGCGTGATTTGAGTACATAAGATCATTTTAATATTTTTGTCATTAATTTGCCTGAATATCCCTTTAATTACCAGAAACATAAAAAAAGATAACGCATTTGGCCTTATTTGAACAAATATAAAGTAATAATAAGAAGACGGCGGCACAGAGCCAAGTTAGTCTATGTACTCATGCACTGTCTGGCCAGGCCATACACTGTTGGATTACTAACTTAAAATGTTTAATTTGACATCCAAAAATTTAATAATGAATAGTTATAGAATAGTTCCAAATTTAGGAGAGAGTGAAGTCCTTTAAATAGAAAGATTAGATAATCTACAAAGCGACTCATCATATAAATGGTTAATCACCTTCATCTCAAAGAGTCAACATTACTTTTATGAATTTAGTGACACAAACACATCGGCAAAGAAACTTACATGGTTTGGTGCCAAATCGTAAGACTTGTACCACTCGAACACCGGATATTGTATAAGTCCGGATAACCCGGCCGAGGAATGTAAAATACCAAACAACACTGAGAATGACTTCAACGGATACCTGAAAAAAACATGTAAATGAATATTTAGATTTGTATTGTAATTCTGGATATAAGGTAATAGGAAAGTGAATGTGCTACAAACCGTTCTGGTTTAAAATGAGTGTTTTAAATCAAGATAACTGTGTCCTAAGAAAGTAACATATATGTAGTATATTGAATTATTTTTGCAGTTTAAACCAGAAGCTAGCCAGCCTAAGTCTAACGGGTCAGAGCTAGATCTTGAAAAGCGTTGTTTATTTGGCCGTTTGTTCGTAAGTTCTTTCTATATGTCTCAATTATAAGAATTATAAAAGCACAACACAAACTTCCATATTTTTTTCAAGAGTATGATTCTTCGAAAGAACTACTTGCACGCACTATATAATGTAAATTGGTATGCATATTGAAAAAACTGGTTACATGTTTACAAACATTTTAAAACTTTTGTATGACCAACATTGATTAATTTATACTTACACGTCATTTAAGAAGGTAATCTCATAGGAAAATAGGTAGGATCTGTAGATTGTAAACAAAACAAAAACGAGGTTAAGGAACGCTTCCGTTTCAACGTAAATCAATGAGGTAATAACTATAGACATTATTGACGTCACAGTTAAGGGCAATATTATCGGCATACGTCTTCTCTTGAAGTCGTCAGTCACTGAAAATATAAAAACATTACAAACATTTAGTGTTTTACGGTACAGATTATAAATATAAAACTCTAAATCCTAAAATATTTTATATACATGTGCATGTGCTGACTTTAGTTTGAAAATATAAGGATTCTATTTCTGGCTTATTTGATGGCTTATTTAAAAAGAATGAAACAACAGATCATAAAGATTGTATAATCTATCTATACTTACGCATATAACTCCGACGCTGACAATCGTGTAACATCCCGGCGGTAATAGATGTGATAACGGTTGCCATGGTAACGTATGAAAACACACCGAGATAATAATTTTCTGAAATTAAAACAAAATACCGTTAGTTTCAAGAAATTTTCTCCATGTTGAATGATATATACATTGTTTATCGAAAATCAATAAAAAAAACCTGGTATAGTGTACATGTATAGTTTCAATATTACAATGCCTTTGGTGAATAATGTTTAAAGAATGTACTTAGTTTCAGCATGTAATTTTTCTGTATACCATCAATAGCGCAAGCGGTTATATTTGGACTTTATACCATTCGTACCTAAAAAAATTTGTTTCTTATCCTACGAAGGATTTAGAATTTCTAAATAAGGGTATCACAGTAGTTTTTCTACTCTTTTGCAAGCTCGTGCCTGAAATAAAGCAAGGAGGGGCATCTGAGGTCTCCCCCGCCCGCCACCACCATACTGCAATTAAAACTGGAAAATCGCTTTCTGACGTTCACATAATATCTATGTTTCAATTCTTTAAAGTTAATAGTATACGTAATTTGCATGTTTGAAATTCATATATATATACATGTATGTATTTTTGATTTGATTACAATAAAATTGGTTATATTATTAAATTTACCTTTAGCAGCGTTTCCGTTGAACTTATTTTCCATCCAGGTGTTAAAAAAGCCAAGAAAGGAGACAAATCTGAAACCTTGGACACACATCCAGAATACGTGTAAAAGGTATTCGCTGGAAAACAGGATCCGACAAACAGAAGGTCCCTTATCTAGGAAATGAAGCAAAAAGAATTCTTTCGACATTCTAAAAGAACCCTTTTGTATATAAAATAAGGCACAGGAAATTTTCTCCATGTTGAATGATATATACATTGTTTATCGAAAATCAATATAAAAAAAAACTGGTTATAGTGTACATGTATAGTTTCAATATTACAATGCCTTTTGTGAATAATGTTTAAAGAATGTACTTAGTTTCAGCATTTAATTTTTCTGTATACCACCAATAGCGCAAGCGGTTATATTTGAACTTTATACAATTTGTACCTAAAAATTTTTGGTTCGTATCCTACTAAGGATTTAGAATTTCTAAATACGGTTTCACAGTGGTTTCTCTACTTTGTAGCAAGTTCGTGCCTGAAATAAAGCAAGGAGGGGGGGGCATCTGAGGTCTCCCCCCGCCCGCCACCACCATACTGCAATTAAAACTGGAAAATCGCTTTATGACTTTTACAAAATATCTATGTTGCCATTTCTTAAAAGTTAAAAAATATTACGTTTGAAAGTCATATACATATATACGTATATTTGATTTGGTTTAATGAAATTGGTTATATTATTACATTTACCTTTAGCAGCGTTTCCGTTGAACTTATTTTCCATCCAGGTGTTAAAAAAGCCAAGAAAGGAGACAAATCTGAAACCTTGTACACACATCCAGTATACATGTAAAAGGTATTCGCTGGAAATCAGGATCCGACAGACAGAAGGTCCCTTATCTAGGAAATGAAACACAAAGAATTATTTTTTCAAACTAAAAGAACCATTTTGTATTCAAGATAAGTCACAGGAAATCATTATGCCCCCTGTCGGTCGGTGTGTTGGTCCTGGTCTGTAAATGATCCCTATTGATTTTGGGGTCAAAAGGTCAAAGGTCAAGGTCATGTTGACCTTGAAGGTGGAACGGTTTCCGATCAATAACTTGACAACCCATCGGCCCTTGCGTGTTTTTGTCCCGCGACCCCGCCGTTATATTTCCTAAATCTCGCTACGCGCCCCCGAGGGACGAAGTTTTATTTATTCAACTTCGCCCGCGCCCTCACTAATTAGCGTGTTTTCGCTCCTCGCCCCCGCCATTTTAACTTGTTAATTTTCGACATTTCGCATGGAGGGGTCGCGGGGCGAAAACACGAATGGCACAAGTCAGCCGCCATAAAGAACAGTAAATTAGAATATAATAATTTCTACCCATGTGATCAGTGCAGACAAAGACCAACCAACATTCCTAACATATAACCATGGTCTGTACTGTTTGATATTCAGTCAGTCCTTATCTTAAAATTGCTCCAAAAATAATTAATTGCTTTTTCCAAACCATAAAGATGAACAAGTCCATTGAAGATATTAAGCGTGATACGGGTTAGTATAATAAATAAAACAACACCAGCAACAACAACAAAACGGCCAACCATTACCTTTCTCCTCCAATTTGATAAATTTCTCTTTTTCCGTCTGCACATATTCAGATTTACCAGTGCGGGTGTTTGTTATTCGAGGTTTTATACGGACACAGGGAAGCAACAGTAGGGTACTTGTACCAATAAGTGCCAGGTGGATCACAGCAAGTCCGGTATAGTAATATTTCCTTGATATACCGCCGTCAAACGCAACCTATGTTAGAGCCGAAACAAACAAAAATTACATAAATTACGAACATATTCATTTATAAAAATCATAGGCAGGCGTATAACTGGACTTCGGTCAAGATGAGGGAAGCAGTGTTCCAGTGGAAAAGATGTCAACCTCACAACCAAGAGATCGCATATTCATCACCTACATGTACTTAATAAGCTCGTAAATACACCCACTTTAATATTTATATACTGTCTTCACTTCTCGTTTTATGTTCCGCTCCGACTGATTCGAAATAGTCATGAAATATAAACCCATTGACACATGCATTGAATGCAGAAAGGATGTTAGTTTGCATCAGTGTTTTAAATGTCCCGAGATCGGAGGAAACAATGTTTTAACGACATTGAAAGTTTCCCGGCCCACCTTACACTTTTTCGGGAAACTGACATAAAGCATATATATGTGAATAACTGACATAAGAACATGTAATTTTTCTCAATTTTCTCTCAGGTTTTAAAGGTATTTTCAAGAGTTATGAATGTTGACATCATTTGAGCCGCGTCACGACAAAACAAACGTAATGCGTTTACCACCAGCATGGATCCAGACCAGCCTGCGCATCCGCGCAGTCTGATCAGGATCCATGCTGTTCGCTTACAAACCCTATATCAAGTAAAGAAACTGATAGCGAACAACATGGATCCTGATCAGACTGCGCAGATGCGCAGGCTGGTCTGGATCCATGCTGGTCGCAAACGCATTACGTTGGTTTTGTCGTGACGCGGCTCATTTGGGAATTCGGTAATTCAATATTTTTATACGTAACTTTCTATTCGAATGCTGCAAGTTTGCACAAAACAAGTATAAGAAATTTTACTTCCTGTTTACAATCATTATTATAAAATAACAACATAATGCTCTCTATTTTCATTGTCAAGTTGAGCTAAAATTTGTTATATATTTAAAAAAAATTGACTTTTTAAGTTATGTATGTTTACGAAAATCTAATAATAAAAAATGTAAGGGATGCAAAAAATTAAAACTGCCTAAAACATAAAACAAGATTAGAGGCACATTGCGACGAATATTTATACATTTTTTTCACGAGTCACGTGTGTTAAATAAATACAATTGCAGCAAAATGTAAAGTTTTTTCTGACTTTAACTATTGGGATTAATACCCTATTCTAATATTTTTCGTATACAGTATTAATAAAAACAGATTTTTGTGCAAGTTCTTGCAGTTTTGCGTGTTTCATTTCCCTACGTACAATTAACCTGAAGTTAATAAAGATATAGTTACACTCACAAAAAAAAACAACGCAACAGTTATTCGAGTATGACGGCACAATGCACGTACATGCCTCGCACAGTGTAATTTTGGTTTCTACTTCATAAAGTACAAGAAAAAAAATATCTCTGATTTAAATGATTTAAAACGCATTCTATTATTTCTGAAATAGCTATAACCGAAAATGAAGTAATTGATATTATAAGGAATTTAGATGTTAATAAGGCAGTCGGTGAAGATCTTATTAGTCATAAATTGCTCAAAAATATATGTAGTACTGTGTGTAAACCCCTATGTTTATTACTAAATAGGTCACTAGCAGAGTGTATATTTCCTTCCATATGGAAATCCGCTATTGTAATGCCTCTTTTTAAGAAAGGTGATACAAATTTAACTTCAAATTATCGTCCGATTTCTTTATTAAGTTGTATAGGAAAATTAATGGAGAGAATTGTTTATAAACATATATACAATCATTTAATAGCCAATAATTTGATTTATTCAAAACAGTCAGGGTTCCTTCAAGGTCATTCAACGATTTTTCAATTATTAGATATATATCACCAAATAGTTAAATCTTTAGATGATAGAACATTTACTTGTGTAGTGTTTTGTGACATATCTAAAGCGTTTGACAGAGTATGGCACAAGGGTTTACTTCTGAAACTTCAGAAAAATGGTATCAAAGGTAACTTGTTGAAATGGATTGAAAGTTATCTAATTAATAGAAGTCAAAAGGTCTTTGTAGGGTCTTCTTTATCACAACCACTGACTGTAAACGCAGGGGTCCCCCAAGGCTCGGTGCTTGGGCCATTATTCTTCCTTGTGTACGTTAATGATATTGTAGAAAATTTGCTATGTATAACTCGTTTATTTGCAGACGACACCTCTTTGTCTTGTACAACATCATCAATATTCGATCTAGAAGGAATTATTAATCATGATTTAGCTTTGATAAACTTATGGTCTAAAAAATGGCTTGTAGATTTTAATCCTAACAAAACAGAAGCGATTATTTTTACTTTACAATCCAACGTTAACAATCCAAAATTACAATTTGATGGCATACCGGTAAAATTTGTTGAAAGTCATAAACATTTAGGCTTAACTTTTAGTTCTAATGGAAAATGGCACGATCATATTAAAAGTATAACATTATCGGCTTCTAAATTACTAGGTACAATGAGAAAACTGAAATATTCCCTTAATAGGGAAACCCTAAACCAAATTTACATTTCATTTCTTAGACCTCTTTTAGAATATGCTTCTGTAGTCTGGGATGGGTGTACAAATTATGAAAAAGATACGTTAGATAAAATACAGCATGAGGCAGCCAGAATCGTAAGCGGCCTAACCCGTTCAGTTTCTCTCCAAAATTTATATAAAAAATTAATTGGCTCTCACTATCTGATAGAAGAACGTACCAAAAACTTATTTTAACATATAGAATTCATAATTGAGACGTTCCTGATTATTTAAGTAATATTTTCCAGAAAGAGTTCATAATACAACACCATACAATCTTAGAAACTCAGAAGACTTTGCAACTTTAAACAGACGGACTCATATATTTTCTTCTTCTTTTGTGCCTTCGTCCGTAATGCTATGGAACAACTTGCAACCTGAAACAAGATCTGTAGAAACTCTGTCACATTTTAAATCTCTATTAAAGAAATCAACCTTTCGATCTACAGACACTCCAAAATGGTACCTTACAGGTGAAAGAAAACTCTCAGTTTTACACTGCAGACTGAGAAATGCATGCAGTAACTTAAATTTCCACTTATTCTGCAATCATTTGTCACAGGATGCAAATTGTTCGTGCGGTTATGAGATAGAAGATGTTAACCATTTTTTGTTTACTTGTCCGAAATATCGAAATGAGAGAATTGATCTTTTTAACGAATTAAGGCAATTTCACCCTTTAAATGTCCAATTACTTTTAGTTGGTAACAAAGAGTTGTCTTTAGAAAATAATAATAAAATATTTTTGACTGTTCAGCATTTCATAAAAGTAAGCAAACGCTTTTGATTTTGAAAACAAACCAGCACAATCCCAATAAATATTAATGTATTTTTCTTTCATTTTTGCAAAACAATAGACAAGATTCTTTTCTTTCTTCTTCTATATTTTTTTTCTTCTATATTTCATTTTCTCAAAATCTATTTTTGATTTTGGTATATTCGGCAAATGTACATGTTTTCTAAGTCATTGTAACGCAAATATATATAAATCAGTTAACATCGTTAAATACCATTCAAGCTAGAGAACATGTACACCCAATCATTTTTATTGTTATTTCTTACCTAAAATCATTTTTAAAGCCAATTACTATATATGTGTGAGTTTTGTTACTTCTATCTAACTGATAGTCATTCTTGTAAAATAAGTTATTGTAATTTATTGCATCAGGGAAGACCCGTTGCTAATGTTGAGAGAACTTGTGGGTCAACCCTTTTGCCAAATATGTCATGTCATTGTATTGTAACTGTCTACATGTATGTATTTGTCTTATTTTTGGCAATAAAATATGTTTAAATAAAAAAAAAATCAAAAAAAATTTAAATGTCTTCCGTAATTTGATATGATTATGCGAAAAAAAACTAGGTGACAAAACAATAGGCGACCTTATTGTAAACCAAGCATATCACTATCTATCTAATGCTCTTTATTTGCAATAAGATATAACTATTTATTATATCGATATATATATTTTTTTGTTTTGCCATTTAAGGTGCATTCCTGCAGATAAGGCAAAATATTTCAAGAAAATCAAACTTGAGAAAAATGTACTGAGATTTTAAGAAAAATAAAATATGCTCGTGATACAAGTAATAATTTTATGTCCGCGCGATTAATCAACTATTTGGCAGTATTTTTTCACAATATTTCTACTGCGTTACTAACTCAGTAAGGGATAGTTTTTGCAAATTGACCTCTTTTTTTGTAGTTGTTTACATAGGTTGTCAGTGTCGTTTGCAAATTTTAATTATTTTCTTTGTTTACTTCACAGTATTTAACTTTATTTTTACATTTTCAATATTTTCATGGAAATTAGTAGGAATCTGGAGGCGTGCTGCTTTAATTAAGACAAATTATTAATGATTATATCTCTAAGGTAAACAAAATATGATCAAATTATATTGAGCTTCAAATGATAGATTTTATCAATGCATGCATGAACGATGCACGTAAAAATGAATAAATATGAGCCGCGTCACGACAAAACCAACATAGTGCGTTTGCGACCAGCATGGATCCAGACCAGCCTGCGCATACGTGCAGTCTGATCAGGATCCATGCTGTTCGCTATCAGTTCCTCTACTTGTAATAGAGTTGGTTAGCGAACAGCATGGATCCTGATCAGACTGCGCGGATGCGCAGGCTTGTCTGGATCCATGCTGGTCGCAAACGCACTATGTTGGTTTTGTCGTGACACGGCTCATATATACAACTTACTCGTCGAAGTAAACATAGGGAACGCAAGGTCGTGACATGCATTCTTTTCTTTCCTCTCGTGCGTGACCATGAGAAATTGAAAATGATAAACAAATTGAACTCGTGGCCATGAAATATTGACAATTCTAGGCTATGGTATACATATGTTTGATTAACATAAAAAAATGGATACTAATTATTTTCTTTCGCATAACTGTTGAAATTAAAATATTATGCCCTACTTATTATATAATTCAGTCATAAGCCGATATACATACTGCCATACATGGCAAGGTCAACGGAACTTAAGCTTCAACAATAAAAAAATACATTTGTAAATACTTTGATATCTGCTTTTGTAATATAGAATATCAATTATTTCAAAAGGAAATAAGAGGTTAATGATTTTAAAACTGTTTTGATAAAGAAAAATAGGCCAAGGGCATTTTGAAATAGTTTTAATCTTTATCTAAACTACACTACAATACGATCATTTCATTGACATTTTGATAATGAAATTACAATCTTTGTTTTAATATAGATAATCCTAAATGCGTAAACAAGATATTTTTAGTTTTAAATGTATAAAAGATTAGAACAAATGTCGGAAATATTAAAAAAAGTAAAATTATGAGCTCACTGAAAAACTTATTTATGCACGTACGACAGTAAAATAAGTGAATAAGGACGGACGAACGGACGGGGGTGCCAACATTTGGGGTTTATGTGTTTTTTGTTTGATCTTTATGTGGCACTTTTCCACATAAACCAGTAAAATTACCACATAACCCAGTCGGTTTATGGGATTTCCTTCTTTTTAAGTAAGATTATGGACGGAATGAAGCTCATAGACCATTGGATGTTTGCCCGGACAGAGAGACAGACAGACAGACGGACGGACGGACAAGGCGACGTCTTAACCGGGATTATCAGCAGCTTAAACTATGAATGAATGTAAGTTCACACATGTTTAATGGTAATGTATTAGATATTTACTCATATTTATCTCGGATATTAATTACAGGTAACAACCGCACGTGCAATACAGCTGTTTTTATGTTGGCAGGCTGACGATATAAATTTGTTATAATTCATTTCACTAGCATTTTATTCAGGTTATAATACTTTAACATAAATAACTTTAAACGGCAAAGATGTCTTAATATCTCTCCATAACTAATACAATTAATACATCCTTTGTAACTTTTTTTGTGTTAAGAATGTTTTTCCCCGGCCCCTCGATTGTCATTATAGCAGAACTCTCTTTTGCCTTGAAATACGCCTCGGGTGCACCGCCTTATACTATTTCAGATACCGTTGGACACATAAGTAGGGCCGCCAACCTAATTTAAGCTGGGTCGATTGAAAGAATTAAATGTTCCTCTCGCAATTCGAAACCCAAAGCGGTAATAGACAAGTGGGTCAAATGACTTTAAACATTATGTCACTGATGTCCTTGTGTCATTAGGTGTAGCCTACATGGAAATATATTACACTATACATGTATTTTGATGTAAGTATTCATATCCATGCGTTAAAATAATCGTAAAGTTACTCCATTAAACGGTTCAAAGTTCTCAAAAGCGTGATACTTTCATGAAATAATACATGTATATCATGCTTTATGAAATAAAATGACTTCCAAAAGCATCTTCAATAACTAATATGCGGTGATCATCCGATTTCAAATGTAAAATATTCATGTTTTTTAATAATTCAAATGGAGTTGGATATTGAAATTATCTTTTAAAATATTAAAGCTCATCTACTGTCAGTAACAAGGTTCTTTTTTATCAATATCAATGTTAAAAGTCTGATTTATCCCGACTTAAGACCGGTATAAGTTACGGGTATTGGTTATTACACAGAACTGACAGCACGGCCATCTTTAGAGACGCGTCCCAGAAAGGGTTTGGTCAAGAAGAGTTACACCTCCAGAATGGGTTTGGTCAAGAAAGGTTACGCCTCTAGAAAGGGTTTGGTCAAGAAGGGTTACGCCTCGAGAAAGGGTTTGGTCAAGAAGGGTTTATTCTACAGAAAGAGTTTTGTCAAGAAGGGTTTCTAGTTTATAATTATCTGTATAAATACCTTCATAAGATATGTAACAACTGTGGAAGCATCATAGAGTCCGACAAACACGGCTGTGATAGTGGATTGTACAGCTGGGAATAAAAAAGACACCTGCAACAACAACACCAAAAACATATATTTTAGTATGTAGCTAAAAGATTACACTTTCATTTGAACAACGAATTTGAAATATATACATGTACCTTGTTCATTTTAAGTGAATTGGTCTATAATGGAAGGTATGTAATACAATGAATAATTACGTTGATAGTATTTAGTATTAGACATAACAACAAACCAGGAAATAATTATACATGGAAGATGTTGGCAAGTATGAGATACATGATCCGATATGACATATATTTTCATAATATGTAATTGATGTTCTAGAACATGATATTATTATTCATCATATAAATAGTCATTCTTAATAACAGAGACAATATTCTATTTCAAGCAGCACTTTATAAGAAAATCCAAATGATACATTTCTATTGTTTTTATCAATATTTGAAATACTGAAATGTAAAATATGCTCATTGTAGACCAATCTACTTTAAATATAAGAGCATGTATAATCATGCGTCTGTTTGTATAAAACAACGTCAGCAAAAAATCATAAAATACATAACATGCAAGTATATTTTTCTAAAAAAAATAATGAATACAAGTGTAAGTAACTGTAATATATATATTAGGTCAACGTAGTTCAAGTGTTCTTACATGTATGTTTGTTGAGTACAAAGCCATGCCTGCCACCCCTATACAGCATAATCCTGGACAAATTAGCCATGGAATCTCTGCAAAAAATGAATATTGTCTTTGATAGTACAAATGTGCCGCGTCATGACAAAAGCAACATAGTGGGTTTGCGACCAGCATGGATCCAGACCAGTCTGATCAGGATCCATGCTGTTCGCTTACAAACCCTATAAGAAGTAGAGAAACTGATAGCGAACAGCATGGATCTGATCAGACTGCGCGGATGCGCAGGCTGGTCTGGATCCATGCTGGTCGCAAACCCATTATGTTGGTTTTGTCATGCGCGGCTCAAATATATCCATGAAAAGATCGATCCTCTAAATGTACGATAATAGTAAAAATTGTCAAACAACCATGGTGATACATGTATAATATAAAGAATAAAAGCAGTGCTGCACTATGTTTTCATTTATTTTTTCTCTCGATACATCGTCCGAATTCTTTTATTTAGTTTATACTTTAAAGTTGCGGCCGCAAATAGTCGCCACATTCTATATAAATAGCTGACAACCGGAAGGTTCGATATTGAAAGATTAATTGAGTAAGTCTGTACTTAACGCTACAGTCACACTGCAAAGATATCATATAGAATTGGTTATCAGTTATCACTGGTAATCAGAAATATAACAATAAATGTAATCGATTTAGAAATCTTATCATTTTAAATTTTGTCATAAACATGACGTAAAAACTATATTATAGAATCATTATAATCAAACAGTGAGTATATAAAATAACGAAGCAATCTAAGTTAAAATTCTACAAGTGTTTCAAACGATAAAAATCCTGAAATGTATATACATTGTTCCAATAAATTACCTGGCGTTGCGAATCCAAGACACAAGGCACCAGTTATGTATGTCAACCTGTGAATAGAAGAAGAGCCTTGAGTTGACAAATAACTTGAATAGCCATCAATCTGATATATTTTTATATTTTTCAGTCAACAAACTAACCAAGAATGATTTTTGAAACAGATCATTCTGTCATAACCTTACATTATGACATTTCTTTGTATTATATTAAAATCATTTAAAGGCCCATTTTGTCTTAGAAATGCTAGCATTTTAAATTCTCAAAAACTTTTTTTTCTTTTTGGTATCCTTTTACAGTTTGCAAAAAACTGCCCATTTGTCTGATTATAGATGAACTATCTTTGTTTCTCTTGCTATGTTTGCAATTGGTTTAATTACAGTGAATAAGTATTTTGTATTGAAGTTAAAATACTACTTTGTTTACATTTTGCTACCTTTACGACGCATAACTTCACGTTCAGTCCCACTTTCCGTTGTTAAACATGTAACATGCTCTAAATCGATCATCAAAACCTTGTTTAACACATGTTTGTCATTTCTAAAGAATTTTAGAATTTTATAAGTTTAATTTAAGCATTGGATATTGCAATCCTCTAACAAAATGCAGAACTTTTAATTGCCTCCTCTATACATTGTATTAGTATAGAACTAGACTCTATTCTTGGACAAATCAATAAAAACAACGCGAAGTAAATGACTTCAATTTGTATATCTCTCTCACTCTCTTTCATTTGAACCTGATGTTACATATAGTTAGTATGCAAAAACAGTTGAGAATCATTCTGTTAAATAGTATAAATCTAAATCTTATGAATTTTTTTAATAAAATTTATCAACAGTAAAATTACATTGGTTCATTAATATATGGTTGATTCCCGGAAAAGTTGTTATAACATAGTATGTCTCTGTTATTTAATACACATGAATAATGTACGTAAACAGAATAAAAAGATCCGGTTTTAAGTATAGGGTTTTATCCGTCTAGCAGTAATTTTGTGCATGCGCCATTTGCTTTTAAGGCAATAAATTACCATATTTATTTCATACAAGCATTTTGGAAGTATACTTTTTTAAAATTCAAACAATAATTTTTGCATCAGATATATATAGCTTTATATACTTTAATTTGGATTTAAATATATGCAATAATGTATTGAATGGTACATTCTTTGAAACTGAGATAAACAACGAATTTAAACACTTACAAATACAGGCAAAGGTATTGAATTGGTGTTTCTTCTCAAATTATCCAAGTCATTCTTGGTCAGATATTTTTGTATTTTTTTTTGTATTTTTTTTTTGAAATTATTTAATACGCAATGGTCTACAAAATGCGTTTTCCCTCCACTTATGAAATTAAAAATACGTGTTTAGGTTTTAAAGATATTGTCAATCTAAGCACAAGTTATCAAATCTGTTTCACATAGATTTGTTTTGCTTGTCATATAACAAATACACAACTTGATATTGATTCAAGTGATATGAATTCGAAATGAGCTTTTCTATTATGTTGTAAAAATAAAAATATAACTAAACAAGAAATAAAAATTGTTGTTTTTTTTAATTTTTCGGAGAGGGACCATACGGTATTTTGGTGCGTAAATAAAACCCTAGCGCGTTCACCCAACGATGCCCGACGATGCTCTATGATAGGGAGACAGAAAAAGGGGGTTAGGGACGAGGGTCACACATACATACAACGCATAAATAATACGAGGTATATCAAATATTTATATAGTATATAAAGTTGTTATCCCAGAACATCTATGAATATTAAGCGATACATATCCAATATAACTATAAATATACACACACTTACATAGATAATAATCTGAAATTCCGCATGCCGATCCTCTGTAGAATTGGCCCCATGATGGAACAAATCACATAGGCGACGCATATTGCAATGGAGAACCATAAGTTCAGTCTAGCGTCTTGTTCAGTACATCTTGGTATCTCGTCTGCATCTGTCCTAAACTCCCGCCATGATTTATCCTCCTCATTTAATTCGCTATAAACGGTGTACAAGCTATTTTGATGAGTGTAATTCCCGTGTTTAGACTGAGCATAATATGTTACATTAACATCCGTTACATCATAGTCTGATAAATATGTCGCCACTAAACTGTCATTTGTGTACAATTCATCGGCAATTCTCGTCTGTCCTGTACCAGAATTGTCGGCTGCTCTATTATTTTCTACAGGTGTATCAGAACACAGTTCAAGATAAAATCCCTCCTGCTTTAATACATACAAAAGCGAAGACCAACCGAACAGCTGACCTGCGTAGAACAAAATTTCAATAAAACACCAAATCGTGCAAAGTCTTGGGTAGTTTTTATAAAGTTCCATTTCTCCTGAAAGCCTGACGTGTTCGTTCAGTGTTTACAAATCTGCAGGAATGAAATGTCGATATAATAAAATTGTATTCTTTCTTCCTTGGATATAGAAGTACATAAGTTAAATCGAGTGAAAACTACTGAATACTTGTGTGCTACGAAAGCGGTTTAAACCGGTTACAATCAATAGCAAACAAGGAGCGCTTAATATCAACATTTCTGTGAAGTGCGCTTAAAACTTAAAAACTTAATAATAAGTAATACATAGATATCGTTACCTCAAATTGCATACATAAATCTTACACTTTAAGATAAGCATTTAATGTACAAAAAGTGACGAAGAAAAATATGTTATATTTTAGGTCTAATTAATGATGTTAACGGATGAGTTTTGTGTAAACTATGATGTGATGAACGAGTCCGATAAAAATAGCAATTAGTGAGGTAAAAGTACTTAATATATTTCAAAATTCGGTCAATGATGTTAAGTACCAATAACTGATAAAAATGATCTTTATTTTTTCAAACTTTGAAAAAGTCATCATTACATAAACGACGATTAACACTTAGTTAGTTTCGCTTTCAACAGATAAGAAATACAATAAAACTGTCTCGTTTGAAATATAAATGTACGTTTGATGTAAGTCAGCCAGATTTTCAGCTAAAACAGTATAAATAATAATTCATTATTTAATAAAATATATAATGATAATTCTGCAAGTAAAAGCATTATTTATGTACCCTTAAGGCTTAGCTGAACTGACCAGTGTAGGTCAAGTTCAACCGGAACATCCGTGCCGCCCGACCTTGGTCAGGACTATTCGGTATACAGTCAATACTTACTTTTAAATTATTTCCTTAGTTTGAAATTATTTCCTTAAAACAACGAATGGTCTTGTCCGATTTGAAATAGAAATTTTTTTATATAAGATACTAAGCTAAGTACCGTGTGAATGAATCAAGTTCTTTTCGGCCCATGTCGGGATGTAAATTGAAGCGTTTCACATTGGTTTTAATTATCTCTGCAGGTAATAATATATTTTTTTAAAAAACTGGTGTTGACCCTATGGTGGTAATTTGGGTTTGGACATATAGGTCCAATTTCTGAAAAGAATTTTTTTATATGATTTACACTAAATTCATTATTAAACTGGTGCCAAAATTGATGTATAATTAGTGCCATGGTAATGACCAACCTTTATCGATGACCGTTATCTCGTATTAAACATGCTGACCATTAAACACCTTGGCAGTACGATTGTTGTGATTGAAATTTTATGTTTAACTATATACACATAGGTCAGTAACTGAAATTTTTTGGTAAGGTCATTTTTGATCACAGGGCTATCATTTAAAATAAAAAGACCTTGCAAAGGAGCACTAGATTATGTTACATATCAAATATAAAGCCTTATGGTTTCTGACAAGAGATTTATTACAAAAACTTGAAAAATGGGAATCCCTCGGATGATATGAAATCAATAAATTGTAGACTCGATTTGATGAAGTCTGTTCATGGGAGATAATGCAAACACGCAACATCTCTCACTGACACCTGCTGTTGTTGTAAAGTTTTTAAAAAAAAAACGGAAACAAGGGAGATCACTCGGAATCCAAAGAAAACAACCAAATTATATGATAAATGTTGGCTCGATTTGATTTAATCTGTTCATATGAGATGATGCAAATGTGCAACATAAAATATTTTAAAAAAAACAAGACCAACAAAGAAGGGTGATATTCAATGAATGCACCCCCCTAATGCAGAACTACCAGCAAGGATAGCGGGACACCAAACAATGAGTGTATGTCAATGAATGTAGGTAATGCACTTCTGGCGATGAAGGACCCTGTCATTTCAGGGGCAGCAACTCTGTATCTTATAGTGCAAATCAGGACATAAACCAAGTTTCTTTGTAAGTTTGGTTGAAATCGAATAAGAAATATAATTGTTATGATGCCGACAGATAACATGTCATTCATTTGGCATACTCACATCGTCCTAAAAGCCCATAACATTGGTCCAGGCTTCTAGGACACTAAGTTCAGGGAGTTAGGCCGTTAATCCGCAAGGCCTTGGCTTCACAGATCTCTCAAATCACTACATGCTTAGAAGAACTGAAAATATTCATTCATTCCAGGTCAAAGTTAAGTGATACAATCAGTAAATACTTCGTAAATTATTCATCTATATAATGTATATAGCAAACGCGTCAACATTGTAATGTTGAGTATAATTGTATTTTCTATACTGAATTTTATTGATGTTGTTCTCTTCTTAAAACACGTTTACAATTAACTGACAAAATGTATGACACTAAAAAGTAATTGAAAGGCCGTGGTCATCGAGGTGAAACAAAATCATATATCTTGTTTATAAATTATATGAAAATATGGTAGTTAATTGGTGGCATTAAGAATATAAAAATACGTTACTGTCGTCTGCTTAAACGTGTTTACAATACAATTTTATATTGTACAACATTGTCAGAAGCGCAACTTTTGTTTTCTTTGTAACTTGTATTAAACAACGTATATTTCTTCTGTTATTTTTTAATCTCAAATAATTTCTATACATAAATTTAGCTCGTACCTTCCATTTAATCAGCGCGTAAGAAGTTTAATTATTCAATAGGTAATTTAATCTTTTGAAACGAGTAGTAAACAGTATTTCAATTCCATCAAGCTTCAGTAGCCACAGAAAACCCGAGTGACACCATTTTTATACGCAATGGATTAGCCCAGCTTTCAATTCGGAACATTCCATTCAATTTAAAGGGATTTCAATATCAAAAACTGAGCTACAACAATTTGGAACAGTTCATTTGAATTTAAAAGGATTTATTGATCTTAAATTGATCTTTATTGACTTAAACAAAAGCTACCGTTAATTTCGAGCTTGGTCAGACTACACGGAGGTGCAGGCTGGCCTCGCTATTTACAGGCGCATTCGGTTCCAACAGGTAAAGGGCAGCGTCTTTTGCTATTCTTTTATATCTATATTTCTACTATTTCTACACAGTGTTTGCATTTACTGCATGTTATTTAAAAACAAGTTTATGCCAATAAGCCCTACAGTTTAAAAATAAAATATATAAAAAATAAAAGAAAATTTAAGAAAACAAGCCAATTGTATACATTGGAACATGCTGTAATAATGTAATACTATTATTATAATATCATATTTAAGCAAAGCTAGTACTTACGACAAGGAATAATAATCTTACACGGTTACAATGCCAATATCATAATGTTACATTTCAATCAAGACTTGTAAACTGAACACTCGGTTTTGCTTTAAACATTTAGAACACTTTCCTAATAAACACATTTCATAAAGTTGTAAGAATAATCATAATATTGTTCCTCTTTATTTGCCGTTGGAAATTTAACTGTATAGAAGTCCACGGTGAGACAGTACTTAAGGTATAATATAGGTACATGTATTCATAAATTGTAGTATATACCCTCGTTCTATCAGCAGACAAGTTAAACGTTTAATGTAAAGGCATATAGTATAACGATATTCCTTCAAAGCATTAACTTTTCTGTCCCTATCACTGTTTATAAATGTTTAAATAAAATTTCCACAGGCAGAGTACACCCGTGCAGAATTGTATTATATCTCGTGCGTGACCCGGATTGTATTGGCGGTTTCTGGTCTCTTATAAAAGCTGTGTTATATGTCAGTACGATGAACTTTCGAACTTCGTTATATACATGTTCTCAAATTTATAATAATCGATTTCCTATTTAATCGGTGATGTATGTCCATTGCATTTCTCTATACAGCTATATACATGTACGGACGCTTACGTGACCATTACAAAATCAATAGGGACCTAAGTCAATCAGTTTTTGATATCTACTAATGATTACTAAATTAATGTAAAGTCATCTTAGACCGGTGCTATAAGGAATGTATAATATGCCGGTGCTGGTGGGCATTATTTCACGTTGTTCTAGTGTACATATGTAGATGGCAGACGACAGTATAGTCTATCTTATTTATAATGTGCAATAAATGTTATGTTCCTTGGCGTGAAAGTTCAAGTAGTCAAAAAAGAATGCATTTTCGTTTTGAAATATTACACACAAGATAAACATAAAACAGATAAAAAAAGATTAAAATTACTTATGAGTTTCATAAGTTCATACATTGTTATCAATAAGCTAAATAATCCACATAATTATTTTTAATCTTAGTTTGTTTTTAATCTTTCTCACTTCACGATTTGATACAGATTACATCGTTCGATATATTGTTACATGCATTATATAAGAAATGTTCATGCTTTCAGTATTAAGTCCATTAGGCAACTGAGCGTTTGAAAGCTTTAACAGAACCTGTGCTAACAAAAATAGTAAGAGAAACGGAAAAGGGAATATAAGAAAGGAAGCAATATCATGACTTTCCGATGAAATTATTTGACTTTTTACTCCGATACAATTAATTATATGTTATAAAGTGTTGATCGTTTATATAATCAATTCATTAAATTACAAAATTCAAGAATAACATAACGAATAAATATGAAACAAAGATAATACATGGATAAATGTTTCAATTTGACTTATTTTGTTTTCGTAAATGAAATTTTTGTGACAACATTCCTTGAAGAGTATTACCATCTTAGGTAATTTCATGTCCATTATTATACTGTACTAAAGAACTAAAAGATTTTTTTATTTTTATGCATCAATTTTGATTCTCACCTTGATCTTAATCTAGATCTAAAAAAAATGTTAAGTAACTGAGAGTTGGTTGGTGAAGACATTTTGCTACCTTTACGACGTACGTGGCGATGCAAAGATAGACCAAACACAAATTGGCATCAGTTTTCAGCACTGACCGAGGTAAAATATTGTGTCTTGACAAATAAGTCAAATGACAAAGCTCTTAGTTTTAACAAACATTTCATTTACATGATAATTGACAAATAATAAACTGTACGCATTGATTAGGAAGCTTGAAAAGTTGTTTTTTTAATGGCATGTTTTTTTAGAAACTCTCTCCGACAAAGCTCTTAGTCATACGAACAAGCATTTGTGTGAAATGATTTAAAGAACACATTTTTTTTCCACTTGCACATTGCTGCATTAACTTCAAAAAAGCTATGTCCAAGACATAAATTTTACCAATTAAACAATCGAAAAAGTACTGATCGTGATCTAAGAAACAAAGTATATTTAGTCGATGGCCTTACTTGCACTTAGATTACTTTTGCAACTAATTAACATACTAACACACGAGTGTAATGTATGTTACCTAGCTGGTTAAAATAAGCCATCACTCTATAATACAGTGATAATACCTGTTACCAGTTTTATCATACAATCCTATCATGACGCGGAAAAAAAACCCAGTTCTAGTTCTAGATTACAGCGGAAATCATGTCTGCGCATGATGCCATCAAGTGTACAATGTTGTTTTTTCTTCTTCATTCATTCTAGTACAAATTGTATTAGACGTCAAAAAGTAAGCGGCTTAGTGCGCTAGTACGTGCAATAGAGTAATCTATCAATGCCTAAGTTCCAATGTACCAGTTTTTCCGGTTAGTACCTATCTTTTAAAGGCCCATCAAGCTCACAAAATGCTTTCATTTCTCAGTATATATTTTGTTTTATAATTTTGTTACCATTCCTGCAAACGCACTCACTAGCCATAAAACTGAACCATCTTCTGCCTTTTTGCGCATTTTTGGCAATTAGTATAGTTATGGTGATTTAGTACTTTGTTTACACTTTTGTTAGGACTGCGTTTCATAGAAAGTTCTAAAAGAATCTTAAGACCAACTTTAGGACTATCTTTGGGCTGTTTCAATAAACGTTATCTTCAGTTTAAGACATTAGACTTTAATAAAATCTGTTTATAGAGACGCTAATAAATACAATAGCACGCGCTTCAACCGACATGTACGTTCATCTGCATCGTAATTCGACACTTGATGGAGTCATAAAAGGACTTATAAGTTAGAACGTTTCCTTTAAAACGCACAATTTGGTCTTGAGGTCATAAAGTTTATTTCAAACGCCTAATGCGCCTTTAAACAATGAAGATGTATAAAAAAAAAACAAATTTCCCTAATATATTATAAGTGTGCTGGCAACGTTTTGGGAACGTCATTCTTCCTGATTCATCATCTTCTTGGAAAATTCTATAAATAGATACACGTGGTGGAGACACGTGGTGGAGTCACGTGATGGAGTCACGTGGTGGAGTCACGTGGTGGTGTCACGTGGCGGTGTCACGTGGTAGAGTCACGTGGTGGTTATTTTTAAGAGATATCCTTGAAGATTATTATGTTCAAGTTTGAAGACAATCCATTCAAAAATAACAAAGTTACAGCCAATAACAGCATGAACAAGCAAAATTTGGACTTTTAACCTTGAAGGTCAAGGTCATTTATGGATGAAGGTCAATGTTAGTGGGGTCTACTGAAAGGTCTTGTCCCAAGGGTTGTTGTGGCCAAGTATGAAGACAATACACCAAGAAATAAAAAAGTTATGATCCAGGTACAAGTTTGCGGACGGCAACGGCAACGCCGCCGCGACTATAACAATATATATATATTACTTTTTTTAAAAAAAAGTCGAGCTAAAAACCATAGTATGCAACTACACTATCATTTAATACTCATGTATATTGTTTTGAGTACATTTGCAAATTGATACTGTCCATCTAATTATCCCTAGAATTCCGGCAGAGACTTACTGGGAGTAACAAAGCGTCTTCTACATAGGAAAATCAGAGTCCTACATAAGCTCTTTATTTAAAACGAAAAAGTCCTTATTAGGCTTTTAAGTCATGGTTCGTGTTTAACAGATTTTAAAGAACATTAAGGTTTTGCACCAGACTACGTCATGGTCATGGTTCCATTTCATAATGTACTATTAAAATTAAATCCTAACTAGGAGTGTAAAGCTCCTATGTAGGAGATAAAAAGCCTAATTAGGACTTTTAACTCCTTCGTAGGAGATAAAAAAGCCAAATTGGGACTTTTAAACCCCTACGTAAGAGATAAAAAACAAATAAGGACTTTAGGAAATTTAAAAGCCTAATTAGGATTTAGTTTCGCACACCTAATTACGGTTATTTATCTCCTACGTAGGAGTTTAAAACTTCCTAATTGGGCTTTTTATCTCCTACCAAGGAGTTAAAAACCTAATTATGCTTTTGTTTATTTTACATAAGAGTGATCAACTCTTAATTAGGATTTAAATTTCGTTACAGAACATTACAAGAAAAGCATTGATGCAAAGCATCAAAGGGCGTCCAAGCAAGAAATGCAGCAAGTGAAGATGAACAAGTACACATATGATGACAAGATATTCTTATAAACTACCAGAGATGTACATCACTTATGAATGAGCGGACGAAAGACATTGTTCATTATGAACTTTGATTGGCATGCTAGAGATTAGAATATTACTTGTTATTTCTTTATGATCGTGGTTATTAATAGCAACGGATATACATGTATGCAATCATTTATAATCCATATGTGTAACGCATGATCAACACGTACCACACATTTGTAATTGTCCCTTATTATGTTATCGCTATTAGCGAAGACCCCCTTAAGGTATCTGTTCACACTTTAAGTTAGTAAAAATATGACACTGGTTATATTACCATGTTGATCATGTTGAGCATAATTGTTTATTATACAATAATTGTAATATCTATTAATTTTAATTAAAAAAAAAATACAAATTTTATGAATATTGTTTTCTTTTATTCTTTTTTTTGTGTTTTATGTGCTATTTTAATACTGAGTTTTTACTACTCTTTTTTTATTAAAATTGTAAAATAAATTTTAAGAATTCAATTGTCATATTGACCGACGATTATAAGTCAAAGCTTAACTGGAAAAAGTCAGTAAATTATGGTTTATCTTTCAATATATAATATTGTTTATTCTTAAACCATGTACATGTACATTGTATTTTTCTTTATCATTTTTTAAATTATCAATCAATTGAATAATTCATAAAATCTAATTTGTAACTTTGAATAATTCCTCGGCATCTTTACTAAACACGGATAACAAATTAAATAAAATGTTTCAAAGTTGATAATGTCATTCTAATACCATAAAAAATGTACCTTTTTCTCAATTATTGTACATATCACGGATTTATATTACATATAAATCCGTGTACATATTTATTGTTTTTATCTCATATAGATAAAATGAAACATGCTATTGTTGTTTTTTTTTCTAATTGTAACGATATCAAACATCTACCCCAAAACCGGGAGAGACCGGACAATAAACGTGTGGTACTATTCGCCGGTCACTAGTAAATCCTGGTCAAAATAGACCGGGAGAGACCGGCATTCACCAATAGGAGTGATAAATAGATATATCTATATATAAATAGGTTTTTGGAATATTTAGGTCATCAACTGATCATTCTAGGATACATGTACAACAATAACATACGATGATAACCGACTGTGTACTACAAAATGATAAATAAAAAACCCCGAAGAGCGCGATTTATTGACGGAAAAGGTTATTTCATTTGAAAATGTTTGCATTGCGAAAATTCATTGTAAC